GCAATACAATAACCTTAACTGACTCGGGGAAGGGGTAAATGGGTATGGTAGACATTCGGATTGCACAATACGGAACTAGTGACTCGCTAAACTTAACGGATACATTTCAACAACACAAGAATACAGTTCAACAAAACATTTCAACAACACAATACATAACTAATACAAGATAAAGTTTAGGGTTCAAGGAAACAAAACAATACGTAAAGTGATTGTCATTACAAAACAAAGTACTACACAAAAACAATACGTAATCATGCTTGTCTTAGTCTCAATGGACATGTACGAATGTTATGTCCAACTTGCTTGCAATGCTTACATCTGCTCTGACTGCTAGAGGGTTGAGACTCAACCCAATCCATCTCATTCTGAATCCTTGAAGACTTTGGTCTTCCTTTTGCACGTACCAACTGAGCATCCGGAATTACAGTAGGCCCAACAACGGATGGAATCAACAATTCATTGCCAATAGGAAACCAGTGTGCAGCATATACTTTAGCAATGGTTGGAATTTTGAAAACATGATCCACATAATCATAATGGTTTAGCTTGGCTACCTTGCAAACTGCTAATACATGACTGCAGGGATACCTCCTTGCTGTAAACCTACCACACTGACATGTACGATTGATTAAGTCCACTCTCATGATGTCACCGACCTCGTGTGTAGATTGATTGTAGGCATCCTCAACCTCAAACAATAACAGCTCACTATCATATATCCTCACACGATAAGTGCCAGCCAATTCATCATTTTTTTGCAACGCTGCCTCAACCTTCTTTGAAATTATCCAACCTTGTGAGATATCTTTTTCAATCCCTTCACGTCTCTTGACGAAATACTCAACGAGTCTACTGAATGTCATCTTGACCAATGCAGATATAGGCAGATTTCGTGCTCCACGAAGCACCTTATTCACACACTCAGATAGGTTAGTTGTCATATGACCAAACCTACGTCCTGTCTCATCATACGCTTCAATTCCACATTCCTAAAACGGGTATTGAAGTTGCTTCCGATGTGACGTAGACAAAATACATGATAAGCATATGGAGGCTGCCACCCTCCGTGGTCTTTCACCGCCCTTATGATGCTTCGATGACGGATATTATACAAATACCATGCCTATGTGTGACATGAAAACGTAAAAGGCTAAGAAACCAGGACCAATCATCCAACCTCTCACCTGGAGGAACAACAACAAAGTCAATAGGGATGAGCTCAGAAATTATTTACAGTATGAAGTGGCAAAGAAGGGTCACATGCTTTCACATACCCCAAAGCAAAATTATTTACTCACCTGGAGGAACAACAGCAAAGGCAATAGGGAGCAGAAATCCATCTCCATCCTGAGATGTTGCAATCAATAGAATACCTCTGTACTTCCCATACAGATGAGTGCCGTCAATTTGAATTATAGGCTTGCAGTGTTTGAATGCTTCAATGCATTGGTGAAATGTCCAAAAAACCCTTTGAAATACGGCCCTGTCTGTATAAACCCGACGTTCATCAAAACATTGATTTGTATCAAGTTTGAACACAGAACCCACATTCACCTCCGTCATATACTTCAGCCAATTTGGCAAGAATGCGTACGATTTCTCCCAGTCACCAAACAACTTAACGATGGCCTTCATTTTTGCCTTCCAGGCCTTCCTGTACGTTATGTTGTATCCATATGTTCCCTGTATCCTCTCCTGTATCAGAGCTGGTCTTGTGGATGGATCTTCCTTTAACATATCTGGAAAAAAAAATTAACTTTACCATATTCTCAATTAATCTGAATCATTAAATAAACAGTAGAATACATACTCATTATAGCCGCACAAATGACATTTGAATCCAACTGTCTATGATCCTGTGCTAGGCCTTGATTTAGGCATGTGTGACCTTGACCCCATTTACGGACCACCCAGTTAGCTCCCTTCTTCGGCTTAATTGCCCTCATATACCAGGGACAACCGTCAGCATGGTTTTTACACTTCATAACAAATCTTGACTCGTCGCTTTTTTCAACTATGGCTGTCCTGCGCCCCTTCATACAATGTATTTTCACAGCATGTTGCAATTCTGGTTTGGACCCAAATTCTTGTTGCACAAATAACGGATCTCCTAACTTCCAACCTCCGTGCAAGTCATCATCGCCATATAGGATCTCCAACTCGTCATTAGGGTGCGCCCAGTTAATGAATGAATAATGTTGGCTTTCATTCCAGAATGGCTCCTCAGACCCTGCATCTAAAGATCATGTCAAATTTAATAACTTACCACAAATAATAAATTGTCTAAAGCAAATATTCAAATTTAATAACTTACCACTACTGACTGGGTCGACATGAAGTGGTGACAAGGCTGGGGTACCGAGACTTACGGCGCTCATGTCAGCCTCAAAATTACCGTCCACGTCAGTGTCTGACGAATCACCTTCTGGAATAGCACTTTCAGGTTCTCCCTCATCTTCGCTGTCCACATAGTCCTCGTCTTCATCCTCTTCATCCTCATCCCATGCTACCTGAGGAGGTGCAGAAGATCGTACAACTGTATCTTCTTGACCGGTACAGTGTGCAGTAGTGGTTGTATGCACCGGTAAAGATGAAGATTGTCCAACATCAACTTCAACATATATCTCAATATATTTTAATACTTTCCATTCAACAAACGCATCTGTTACGAACTCCACATCTTCATCATCATTTATATCGTTTCCAATGTAGTATATTGTATCCATATCCACTACAGTCTCTAACCTGGCTATCATGCGGTGGATGGAATGTATGCCTTCTGACCCCATTTTTTGAAGAATTCTCTCCTTCAGTTCATTGCATGTAGTGCCCACTTTGATTTTCATCGTTTTTGTTTTTCCTTCAAATCGGACACCGTTCGGACCTTCAAAATGCCTCCCATTGTAGTAAACAACTATAGGAACCATGTTTGGACTTGAACTCATCTTTCACACAAAAATTAGATCTAGGTTTTGGGTTTGGAGGTTGGTTCGGATTTTTTAGCACAAAATGGGAGTGTGGAGATGTAATCTCAATGTCCCACCAAGATTCAGCTTTCTGAAATGATGAGATGAAATATGTGTGATGTTTCGGATTAGAGAGGGTAAGAGAGAAAGATTTGGGGTTTCAAAAACCCTATACCTCGCAACAATGGCCGAAACCCATACATATTGGGGTTTCTGGACGCGATTTACCCGGGTACACTGCTCCGTACCCGGGTAAATAATTCAAACATTTTCCCAGATTCAAGAACTCTACCCGGGTACACCCCTACATACTCGGGTAGATAAAAAGTTTCAAAATTTACCCGGGTAGGTAATGGTGTACCCATGTAGGCTTCGTGGTCAACGGTCAAACAGGGGCAGATTGGTGTTATGTTTGTTGGGGAGGGTAAATTTTTGAAATAGTTTTGAATGAGGGGCAATTTGGTAATTAATTATTAATTAAGGGACATAAGGGTCAAAAAGCCCCTAAACTTGTGTTATATCAGCCAGCTAAATAGATTATTATTATTTTAATAATCCTACTTAAATAAGCCAATCGTATCTAATAATTAATCATTTTTATCACCAAATTCATACATGAATTTTTTAATCATAAAAGTTATTATGTATAGTATAGATATGAATTGTCCCGTTCTCTTTGACGATGAAACAAAGAACCGTTATGAGAGTGAGAGAAAGTGTACACACATCGGTGCTACCCACCTCTCTGCTCCACTCACCACTCTCCCTCGGAAATTCTCTGCCATGCTTGTTGTTCTCCCAAACAAAACAAAACCATTAAAACACAAAACTCATAACCAAGCGTGAAGGTGAAACTGAAAAAAAACCTTAAAAAAACCTTTTTTCCTTCTTTCACTTTCACTGTTTCCTCGGAATCGCCGAAATCAGAATAATCACCATTTTTTCCAATGCCCCTTTACCATAACAATTCACCAATGCCAAAACTTCTTTCCGTTTCCAATGTCATCATCTTCTTCTTCTTCCTAATACTATGCTTTCTCAACAATGCTACAACAATCTTCGCTACCCAATTCGACTTTAACACCATAACACTGAGCACCCTCAAGCTTCTCGGCGATGCCCACATCAACAAAAACTCCGTCAGCCTCACCGGCGAACCCGCCGTCCCCAACTCCGCCTCCGGCAGAGCCCTTTACTCCAAACCCATCAGATTCCGGCAACCCGGAACCCCCATTCCGGCGAGCTTCGCCACCTCCTTCTCCTTCTCCGTCACCAACCTCAACCCTTCCTCCGTCGGCGGCGGACTCGCCTTCGTAATATCTCCGGTCGATGACGCCGTCGGAGACCCCGGAGGGTACCTCGGCCTGGGCGGCGGCGGCGGGTTCCTCGCAGTTGAGTTCGATACTCTCATGGACGTGGAGTTCAACGACATTAACGGTAACCATGTTGGGTTGGACCTTAACAGCGTGGTTTCAACGCAGGTTGGTGACTTGGGAACCCTCGCAATCGATTTGAAAAGCGGTGACTCGGTGAACGCGTGGATCGAGTTCGATGGAACCACCAAAGGGTTTTGCGTGTGGGTTTCGTACTCGAATGTGAAGCCTAAAGATCCGATTTTGAAGTTGGATCTTGATGTGGGTGAGTACGTGAATGAATGGATGTTCGTGGGTTTCTCTGGGTCTACACAGGGTAGCACAGAGGTTCACAATGTTGAGTGGTGGAGTTTTAACTCCACCTTTGATTCCACGGCGGCGGCGCTGCCTCCGCCGATACCTCCCAACCCAAATGCCACTTCACCATCACCTTCATTGGCTCCTGAAAAAGAGAGTAAATCTTCATGCCACAGTGGGTTATGTAAGCAAGGTATGGAAGCTGTTGCTGGGGTTGTAACTGCTGGTGCTTTTGTTATGGCTGTGTTTGTTGGTGCATTGATTTGGATGTACTCTAAGAAGGTTAAGCATGTGAAGAGATTTGATTCGTTTGAGTCGGGGATAATCAGAATGCCTAAAGAGTTCACCTACAAGGAGCTTAAATTGGCCACCAAGTGCTTCAGTGCTAATAGGATAATTGGTCACGGTGCGTTTGGGACGGTTTATAAGGGTGTATTCCCAGAGAATGGTGACATTGTTGCGGTGAAGAGGTGTAGCCATAGTGGTCAGGGTAAGAATGAGTTTATATCTGAATTGTCCATAATTGGAAGTCTTAGGCATCGAAACCTTGTTCGCCTTCAAGGTTGGTGCCATGAGAAAGGTGAGATTTTGTTGGTGTATGACTTAATGCCTAATGGGAGTTTAGATAAGGCTTTGTATGAGGCTAGAATGCCTTTATCATGGCCTCAAAGGCGCAAAATTTTGTTAGGTGTTGCATCTGTTTTGGCCTATTTGCATCATGAGTGTGAGAATCAGGTAATTCACAGGGACATTAAGACTAGTAACATAATGTTAGATGAAGGGTTCAATGCCCGGCTAGGTGATTTTGGTTTAGCGAGGCAAACGGAGCATGACAAGTCTCCTGATGCCACGGTGGCTGCCGGGACAATGGGGTACCTGGCGCCTGAGTATGTCCTTACAGGTAGAGCCACTGAGAAAACTGATGTGTTCAGTTATGGTGCTGTGGTTCTTGAGGTGGCAAGTGGGAGAAGACCTATAGAGAAAGATGCCAATGTGGTTGAGGTTAGCCGCAATTTGGTAGAATGGGTTTGGAGTTTGCACCAGGAAGGGAAGTTGCTAATGGCTGCTGATCCAAGGCTTGAGGGTGAGTTTGAGGAAGGGGAGATGAGGAGAGTACTCTTGGTTGGGCTAGCTTGCTCACACCCTGATTCAATGGCAAGACCTACTATGAGGGGTGTTATTCAGATGCTGCTGGGTGAGGCAGAAGTGCCAATTGTCCCTAGAACCAAGCCATCTACTAGTTATAGTACTTCCCACCTCTTAATGAGCTTGCAAGATAGTGAATCTGATTGTAATGGTAGAATCACCATCTCCACCTCCTCAGGAGAGAACAGCTTCAATGATAGAGATATTGTCTGATGGAAATATGTGGCTGGGATCATGTCATTTTTAATTATTGACTCAAAATGTAGATAGAGAGAGATATGTATTCTTTTGTTCATGTATGTAAATGCCAATAACATGCAATTAAAGGCCTTGAGAAAGGAAAGAAATTTTGGGGTATATGTAATTTTGCCTCTAGTTTTCATAATTTATGGCAGATTGCTGGTGTACATTTTTTTACAAAACAACTGTAGCTTGGTGCGGATAAATGCAAGATGCTGTTGTTGAGTGTTATGGGCAATCTGGGGAAAGTCTTAGAACTTTGCAAATTTCAATGTTCCAGTTCTAATTTGTGTCCAGTGGTATAGAGCGAGTTGAAATTAACTAACTGATGCAAAACAAGCTCTTTTTTGGACAATTTGATATGACCTATACCATGCCAAAAAAAAAGATAGCAATTTCTGTGAAGCCTTCTCTTTTTCTTCGGCAATACAGGTTTTGTACCTTCCACTTATAAAAAATGGCATTTTTTCCCCTTTTCTGTTTTGGTGTATATTAAGTGGTGCTAGTTTTTAGTATAAAATTAGGGATTAAAGTTTCTAAAGTTACTTTAAATAACTTTATCTAATGTTTATCAAAATATACATAAAAAGGTATGTGGGGTCCATGTGGACTTATGTGAAAAAAAGAGAGAAAAAATGAAAACATGGGCCTACATACTTTTTTGTGTGCATTTTGGTAAATATTATATAAAGTTACCTAAATTAATTTTAAAAACTTTAAACTCATAAAACTATGGTACAAAATTTTTCTTTATCATTTTGCTAATTTGCTAAAAGCATCTTTAGAATTTTATGAGAGGACTGATATGTGTTTAATAACATTTTTGGCCCCCTATGTGCCTGATGGCACATGCATAGTTGATTATATTTTTGCCACTGCACAAGAAAATAGTAGAAAACGCTATATCTAACACCTGCTGGGGAAACTTCTCGTATTCCTAGCCCAGGTATTCTCAGTTTCGTGAGTCTGAACTCCTGATGCTTACACATAACAATCTAGAGTGAGGAACCATCATCTAATTTTTTATCTCCACTATGTAAATGTACTTAGGAACATCATGCATCAGCTTTGCTCCTACTTAGACCACATGGCTTCAATGTCCAAAAGCATTGGTGTTTTTGTGGTCCTAGAATTATATTCAACAACAAATTAGAGATCTAAAACGGGCTAACACTTTTGGTTAAGCACTATCTTTTGGGTTGGTTGGGCTTATTGGCCATTTCAACAGGCATGGTCGATTTTAATAAATCTATTACAAATGGGTCTATTGGTTGGTTTTATAAACACGGGAGAGATCAATATAATTGTCAACCAAGGTGGACACAATTGGTTAAGTGTCATACTTGTATTCTCGCTAGCTGATGTGAATCTTCTTGATGGTGTTATTTGTAATCTCAACAAAAAAAAATTCTGAAAGAGGTTGGAGATAGGATAAGTATTTAACCACACCTAAACTTTTATAAAATTAAGAAAAGATAAAGCATAATTTAAAATGAACAAATTGTAGGGAAGATAGGTATAATTAGTCTTCAGAAAATAAAGCAAACCATACTTATATAGATGAAAACACGATTTGGTTTTAACTCTAATAATTCAACAACTGAAGCAGAGAAATGGGTTGACTCAATCAAATGTACTCACAGCCCCAATCATATATCAAAAACTATTAAGGCAGAGACAGAGACACAACACAACACACCCTTGTTCCATTGCAAGCTGACTCTTAACAAACACCATTCATCTTGTCATTCAGCTTCTTCCTCTCCAACACAAACTTCTTCCAAACCGCAGTGATTTCCCTTTGTGTCTCCAGAGCACTCTTTTTCACAACCACTACCTTGCCATTATTGTTCACAGCTTCTTCTCCACTAACAGTTACACTGGTGCTACTCATCACCCTAGCTGGAAGTGAATCAAGCTCATGCAGCACCTTCTCCACATCAACCACAAGACGCTCTGCAAGGGTCCTTGAGAAGTCCTCCCTGATGACAACACGAAGCACAGTCACATGTTGAGCATCTGGAGGCATGGTGTAAGCTGGCACTATCCACCCAAAGCGCCTCAGCAAGTCAGAGATTTGGAATTCATCATAGTGAGTGTGGTCCTTCAATGAGAAAGCCACCAATGGCACACCATTGTCTTTGGATACAATTTCAAAGCGCCCTGTTTTCTCGAGCCCCTCTTTAAGTACTAACATGTTGTCCCTACAATTTTCCATCACATTTCTATATCCCTGCAATCCAAGTTTGTGAATTGAGTGTGTGAATTATTAGTGTAACACCAGTGCAATTATAAATGGTTTGTGGGTTGGTCTTAATACCTCATAACCAAGGCGAATTAGTTGGTAGTACTGAGCAATGACTTGGCTAGAACCTGCATTGCATATATTGTGAATAAAATAAGTATACTAATACATAAACTAATAAATGGTTATGGTAGAAAGTGCCTTAGTAAAATTGGGTTTGTTGTTGTGGTAGTGCTTAGACCAATTGAGTGATTCAATTATGTTTTACCTTTGGAGAAGTTGAGGGTGAAGGTGGGTTGATCAGCTCCAAGATAATTGATGTGGAAGATGAGTTCCTCAGGCAAGTCCTCCTTGCTTCTCCATATAACCCAACCAATTCCAGCATAGACTAGACCATACTTGTGGCCACTAACATTGATGCTCTTCACTAGTGGTAAACGGAAGTCCCACACAAGTTCTGGATATATAAATGGGGCAATGAAGCCACCACTGGCTGCATCCACATGAATAGGAGTGTCCCATCTACCAAAGAATTTCACATGTTAACTCATCAAGTCAGCTTGGTGCACAAAATAAGAAGCATTTAAGCCTCATTCAATCAATCAGTGCAACACACATAGTAGAAAAGAGAGATATCTACCCGGTTTCCTTATTCTTTTCAATTAGGAGATCATTTAAGCGCTTGACATCTTCAAACTCTCCATTTAGGGTGGAACCAAGGATAGCAGCAACACAAATGGTGTTCTCATCCACCAATTCCACAGCCTTTTCAGGGTCCATTACATAGTATCCATCACGCAGCTTCACCTCTTTCAACTCCACCTCAAAGTACCTTGCAAATTTCTCCCAGCAAACCTTCACATGAACAGAATTCAAACTATGATCGATTCCTTAGACATCAAGTAATGCTAGATAGACTTTCATTTGTAAAGAACCAATTCAACCCAAAAGCTTAAGCTGTTGGGTGAGGCTACCTTAATTATCTTATATCTCTCTAACACGTCCCCTCACACGAGAGTTCACTGGGCTTGAAGGGTGGACAATGCATATGTCCACTCACACTAAGAAATTCCACAAGAGAAAGTGGGGGCTGTAAGAATTGAACCCGTGACACTGAAGTTCTAATATCATGTAAAGAACCAATTCAACCCAAAGGCTTAAACTGTTGGGTGAGGATACCTTAATGATTTTATATATCTCTCACACCTCTTGAACAAAAAAAGAAAAATGTTTGTGTACCTGGACATTGGCTCCAGTAACAATGTTGGGATTGTCATAAGGCTTTCCCTCTTTTTTCCTTCTATTCTGCCACTTCCTTTTGAATGCCAAACCAGCCAACATTATGGCTTCTGAAGAACCAACAGTGCCAACACCAACTGCAGTCTCACACTCTTGAAGTGGTGCATTAAAAAGATGAGCTATCATGTTAACACACCGATTCTGTATGCATACAAGACACAAACAGTACATCAATACTTTTTTTTGAATCCCAAATAAGTAAAGTCATAATATGCTTCAAATACATTTTTTTTTCTCTCCCTCTCTAATATGATAATTTCAGTTGTGATAATAATTGTGTTACAATTGCAGCAGCTGTGAAAAACACATGAAAAAACAATTTCTTAGTCATGGATTTTTCACAATTTTGTTAGTGAAATAGCATACTCTGTCATCACTATTGTAATTATCAAATTATCATAATACGACTACAAAGTTGTATTACGCAGTTATCGGAAGTGAAAAAGAAGGTTCAAGACTGTCAGTCACTTAACTGTTAGTGTTAGGCCAATATCAACTTTGCAGCGTCAAACATGTTATTGTAAAGTATTTTGGGTAAAAAAAAAAAATAATTATGTTGTCAATAAAAATAATTTACAGAACTAAATTTTTTTAGAATTTTAGTGGATAAAATTAATTTAAAATTTTTAAATATATATTTACATTTACATTTTAAAGTTATTTAATTTTATTCCATAACTAAAATTGATTTTTTAAACGTCAATTCATTAAATTTCAACACAAACAAGCGTCAAGTCTTTATTGGATTTTATACGATTTATGGTATGCATGACAACATTTATATTTTTTCTGACATTTTTCTTCAAAAGAAATAATTTTTATTATTTCTGTATTTAGAAAGAGTTTTTTCAATAAAAAATATATTTGACAATATAATTTAATTCTTTCAGAAAAATAACACATTCTACTCTCTCTCTCTCTCTCTCTCTATATATATATATATATATATATATATATATATATATATATATATGAGTCAGGATCATTTGACACCAGTGTCAAATTTGAATTTTGACACCTCATCTGAGAGCCATTAGATCAAAAAAGATCAACGACTCTGATTTGTAAGTATGTGGCACCATTGATCTTTTTTGATCTAATGACTCTCAAATGAGGTGTCAAAATTCAAATTTGACACCGGTATCAAATGATCCTACCTCTATATTATATATATATATATAAAAGGAGGGGTTATATTTACAACCCAAATAGTTTATAAACTCTTACAACCATATCTTAACCGTTGATTTCCGTCAATCAACTGTTGTCATTTATTGTGAATTAATAATTAACTAATAAATTTGATTTGCAAAAATCTTAACTATTGATTGACGGAAATCAATGGTTAAAATATGATTGTAAGAAGTTGTAAATGAAAATAGATTGTAAATATAACCTTCTTCCATATATATATATATATAATAGGATAACTGGGTATGAAAAAGAAAAAAATATTCCTGTTAATTAGTATTTCTAAACTATTAGTTTATTTTCTGAAATAAAAAAATTAACCAATTTTATCAAATATTACTTATAATTATTTTTATTTCAAATTAAAGAAAAATATTTTAAAGATGCACATCCTTAAAATTCTTATTTTCTAGCGGGAATTACGGAGAGCTTATTGGTGTGGATGCAGAAAATTAAGCTAATGGATTGAATTCGACCACACCACACCAATCCATACCATTTGTTTTCTATCTTGAAATCCTAATTGATTAAGGTAGTCCCTTTCCTTATTTTGTCCCAATGATAAGAAGGCTCCCAGTCCCAGCCACCATGCTGTCTCAGTCTCCCCAACGTGCTGGCATTGAAAAACTTCAATATACGATCACCGAATTTGATGCTCATTTTTATTAATATAAAAAAAACGGAAAAAAAAAATTCTTTTTTTAATAAAATGGAGCACGGAATTCAGTGGTCCCAACACGCGATGCATTGAAATTTTTTTTTTTTTTTTTTTGGAGTTACTCACCCCTAATTATCTCTTTGAGACGAGTTGGCTCCCTCCGGTATCCCTACGAGCTTCGACTCTTTGAGCCGGCTATGGGACTAATCTGGAGCATTGAAATTTTCTTATGGTAGAAATGCAATTTACTTATGAAATATTAGAATAACTGTTCACTTAAAAATTATGTTAGTTTATTTATTTATTTTTTTATATTAATTGATTCATCTTTTAATGGTTATAATTTTTTTCTCTCTCTTCCTTTGTCACTCATCTTTGTACGATTTTGATTTAGTAACAAAAAAATAAAATTATCTCAAATATTTTGAAAAACGATAAGCCCAAAATATTATTAACTTATTCATATGATATAATAAAATTTTAAGATCTATAACATTAGAAAAAGTACATATTAGCTTATTTTTAAATGTTCTTATGCTAGTAAGTTTGGTATCTGCAAGCTGACCCATCGTAACTCGCATTTCTGCAAGCTTGTTTTTTTCTCTAGGCATAAGAGAAAAACTTTTGCAGCATCGTAAGAATAATAAAATCCTTTTTAAATTGCTGAAATAAGTTTAAAAACTGCGAAGGTGCACTCATTACTTATTTTTATATTTATATCAAAGGGAACATAACATAAATAATATGTAATATGTATTTAAGATATAATAATTTAGAGGGGGAAATATGCAAATAGGTATTAAATACGTTAAGGTTCCCCAAAAGTGTCCTATGCACATCGGTTGAAGAAGTATAATGTCTATTACTAACTCTTCCAATTAGCTTCTTGAACGGTGACACACCCGTAATTACTTATTTAAAAAGATTTTTTTAGGTAAGAGTTGTTTTGTAATTTTTTTTATATACATATAAAAAATGGGATAAGTTATATGGGTTCGCTTTTTCTGCAGTAAGTCCAATACGACGTCGTTTTGGGACGGAAATCATGGTATTTTTGTAATTTTAATCTATTTCAGGGTTATAATATTATAAATTTTTAAGATTTCAATACCAAAACGACGTCGTTTTAGGAATAAATGCAGATAACTTATCTGCATTAACTGCAGAAACATTTTTTCCAAGTTATATTTATAAACCCTTGAGGGAGTATATTCACAAGTGAATGTATTTTCCTAATTTATAAAAATAATCAAATGACGATTGTTTAGTTGGCGCCAAAGAACTAAGTAACTATGGATAAGAGTATATATTCGATCATCTCCCGTATTATCTTTAGAATGAGTTTAAAGTCTTAATTCCAGATCTGTTCTTAATCAAACTAGTTGCGAAATAATAAATTGATTAGAATATTTCAAAAAAAAAATTAATTTAAAAAATTGAAAGAAAAAAACAAACATTCAAACGAGCCATTAATGCCGTGTTTTCTTGCCTGACATGACGAGGTTGTTTGTTTGCTATTGGCAACTATGTCCTACTGCTTTAAAACCTTTTCACGATATCTTAACGGAACCGTTGAATGCTACCCTATGAATGAGACCTTTAGTTGAAAACAGTAGTGTTCCACTTCCACAGATAAGCAATAGCTATGAATATCTAAAATGAAAAAAAAAAAAAAAAAAGTTTACCAATATGTATTCAAGTTATATAAAAAGCAAAAATATTTAATATTTTCAGTTTAATCATTGTCATGACGGAATAAATAACAATAAATACTCATGTCGTCACTTAGTCTATTTAACTAAAAAATTGTAGATTTTTGTATACATAAAAATTATTTTTTTCGGTAAACAAAAATCGTAGATTTAAATCCTATAATAATTGTGTCTTTTGTCTCAAATTTTCTTCTCTATTCTAGTGAAAATTTTCGTAGACTTTCTCAAATTCTCAATGCCTTAGCAAAAAAAATGTTTTATGTATTTAAAAAGACAACTTATTTATTTTAAAGTAATTATTATTTAAAAGTTTATACCAAGATTAAGAAAGTTATTAAATATTTTTAAAGTTTAATAAAATATTATTAGATTTAACTAAATTATTATTTTATTATATGAATATTTTTAAAAATAATAATTAACAGCAATAAAATTAAATATAATTTTTTTTTAAAATATAAGTAATTGAAACTAAATTAAAATTTAAAAAATGAGACTTATAAATTATTTTAAAATAAAAATCAACATTAATAAAATTCATGCATGAAAAGCAGAATGGATATGATTTTCTTTTCTTATTTTAAGAAAATAAAAGGCAAAAGAAAATTTTCTTCCTGCATGTGTCAATAAAATCCACATGGCCCTATAAAAAGAGATTTGAGATCTGTGATGTCGTACATATACATTCGCGAGCAACAATTTTCCACGTCTGAATAAAAAGAGATGAAAAGATGGCATCTATTCTTGTGCAACTCATCCCTTTTGCTACGTTTTTGACTTTTTGTCATGTGGATGAACAGTATAAATTTTCATTTTTTCGGGAAAGTAGAGGAGGATATTTATGAATAGGGAAATATTACTCTCCTTTCACAAAAGGTAATTTATTTTATTTTCTCTCATTTCAATTTTTGCACCTTACTTTTTTCTTTTTTCTTACAATGGTGGAACTCACTCATTTTTTCTCTACCACATAAGATAACTATCTTATGTGGAAGGAGATCCTTATGAATATTTTGTGTATAATCTTAAATGGACTTTAATATATATAAATACTGTATGAAATAGCGTAAAATGAATTGTCAACAAATGCTTTTCGAAAAATAAAAAGGAAGACTTTTATTTTTTTTGGAACAGTAAAAATTCTCCATTCATAAGGACATGAAAGTCAGAAGATAGGACTTAGGATAGGCAACGTGTGGTGTGATCATAAGGAAACGAATATTGAAATAATCAAAAGTGACAATAACTGTAACCAAAAATAAAAAAGTGATAATAACTTGTTGATGACAGGTGAAGTGACCTAATACTGGGACAGCTTCACTGTTGAATGGAGGATTTTAAAAGAAGATGAAAAAGAAGGTTAAGACTTAGGACCCCGTGATTTTCGTCGAAAGTTTTATATAAATTAATGAATAACGCGTGTAATAAATTATAGAATTTTAGTTAGCTATCTACATCATTGATAGTTTCTATTGTACGAAAAATTATAAATATATAAAAAGTTAAAATAAACCTAATCTTATTTCTTTTTAGCACACATATATATAGATAATTTAACATTTAATGCTGTGATATAAAACAAGAAGGGTCTTTATTATATGTGAAAAAATATTTTTCTATCCAATTAACCGGTCAAATTGATTAATAAGCTCACGTGATGTGGCTTGCTTAAAATGGAAGGAATCTGTAGTTAATTCAGGGCTAATTAAGTCATTTGAAAAATTAAGTAAGGCCAAAAAAGACAAAATAGCATTTATAAACGTAAGAGGAAATTGGGAAACGTTAAGCACGGTGTTTGGTAGGAGTATTTTTGAGGAAAATTGGGGGTGGGTATTTTTTTTATCATATTTAGCATTAGTAATTGTAAAATTATTCCGGATATTTTTTTCTCTGTCATTCTTGTTTATTGGAAAAAAATAATCTTATTCCAACTATGGTATTGTTTTTTTCCTATTAATTGGGAAATGTATTTTTATATTTTGAGATAAAATTGCTCTCATATAATATATCAGCACATACGTAAAAATGAATAATTTTATTATTTTAATTCAGATTCTCATCAATATTTTATAAGACTTATCAAATATCTTTTCGTAATTTACTCAAAAAAAAAAAAAAAAAGTATCATCATATTTCCAGAAGAAAAAATTTCCATAAAAAAAAATATCTCCTTCGCTAAAGGTTGCTAAAGAAGATGAAAGTTATTTTAATCAAGCCATTAAACCTACTCCAACAACTTCTGTCTTGTTCTTTTTTAAAGAATGAATATTTTATTATATCTTTTAATCATTTCCTTAATATTTATAATAAATTTGAGTAGATCAAGCAAAAAAAAAGGAAAGAACCAAGGAAGGTTGAAACTTACCTGAAGCTCAGTGGTGACAGGGTACTCATCCATGTCAACATAGTTCTTGTTAATGGAAGCCATGATGAGCTTATCACACTCAGGTTCCATCCAAGTGGTCACAAACGATGCTAGGTTCAGCCTTGGGTTACCATCCAGCATTAACTCATCGTTTATGATTTGGTATGCTGCTTCCTTTGGTATCGATTCCTCTGACATCCTGAACCTGTGAAACATTAAAATGCACACCATCACACATGATAGATCCATATCACAAATGATACTTAATACATAAAAAAAAAAATTCATAACAATTATCTATGATCTAATCAATTAACGATTAATACATGATTTATAAATATAAAATTATATGAAAAAAATTAATTGCAAATTTAATACGAGTGACTTCTACCTAGGAAGCGAAGTCCTGACATAGCGTGAAGCAAAGGTTGAGTGGACGGAGACATCGGTCTCAGACACTGTCTTGGAGAGAACCATGGCAGTGAGAGAGAAAGAGAGAAAAGTAGATATAAAAATAGGAATGTGAATTTGGGAGTGGTAGATGGATCATGGAAGAGTCCAGTTATTAAATAGAGGGGGTGGGGTGGGGTTAATTTAATTTCTTTTATTTTTAAACGGACCAATTCAGCGCGAGTCTATGACAAATTAACTATTGTAAACTTTTCTGTGACGAGATAAGTTAAAGATATATGAATTTTGACTTGCTTATTTTAATATAAAACTTACATATTTTAAATAAATTTACTAAACGTGCATTTAATTTTAATTCTAACAACCTGTTTAGGACACTTAGAAAATTAAAAAATATTCTTTTTGTATCCTCCTTTTTCAGAACCAATACGCAGAGTGTACCGCGTGCGATTTTTTTATTTTTTTATTTTTTTGTACAAACTGCGTGTGAGTTTTTATTAAGATACATAAAGTGAAAAATATATTGAAAAGAAAATAATTGGGAGTTAGGTCCACATTTTATGTGTCAACTTTCATATGCATAATATACTATGATTATCTGCTTGGAGCACTTTGATGTCCTCCGCTGTGAGTGACTTCTTGTCGAGTTAGATTTAGGTTTGTATATACTATTTCACTGTGCGAGTATTCAAAGTAACAGTGATATGGAATAAAATTTCAGGGTCATTTTTTATTTTATTTTTAGATATTTCAATTAGTTCATCACTAGTTTGATTTGGGACGGATTTCGAAATTAAGGATTTAAACTTTTTTCAAAGACGATACTATGGAGGATCGAACATATATTCTTATTCCACCTGCACAATTCCTTGACACTAATTGAGCTACTATTATTTGATAGGAAGGGTCATTTGTTCTGTGGGTACAATTCCAAAGTGGGAGAATATATAAGGACACATTAATGTTGGAATAATAATTCCTCTTAACCTTATGATGATACTCTTCACCGACAAACCAAGATCTATCATACCTGATCGGAACAAATCTTTACAACTGGGCCGATCATGTGATCTTTCTCTACACAGCCTGAAATCATCTTGGGTCAGAGCATCTTGTAGTTGGGCCGCTTTATCCCATGGGTCTTCAATGGAACGCGATGGGGGGTGTACCTGCAAGACACTCCGACGCTCAAGTCAGTTATGGTTCAAACAGGTTTAATTATGTAGAAGAAGATATTGTACCTTAGTGTTGATACATGTATTTATAGTAGAGTGATGTGTGCTTGGAAGATGTCTTTCTTCATGGTGAAGGCAAAGGTTCCTTGGTGCGAAAGTAGTATGGCTGTCATGATTAAATGTTGAGGAGCTTGTTGTCATGGTGTCTTTAAGGATGAGGAGCTTGTTGGTTGTCATGAGCTTGCTGCTATAGAGGTGTCTTTGCTGTCATAAATATTGTGCAGCTTGGAGAGGTGAGCTGTGCAGCCTTTATTGACTATGAGATTTCTTAGTAAAGGCTTTTAGTTTGGGCCTTGTATTTGTATAATATTTATCCAGATCAATACCAAATCATAAACGAATATTAATAGAAAGGTGGAGGCATATTTGTCTCTATTTGAGTAGAATAACTTCGATCTTCATCTTTGGGATATGCAATCTTCTTCGGTCAAATAACATTAATCCTTATTCTTTAGTGTGATCTTCTCTTTTGGGTATGCGATCTTCTCCAGTCAAATAGCTCTAATTCTTATTTTTTAGTGTGTTTTCTCTCTCTTGATAGGGAAGAGAAACTGAGATTGTTATTTGACATATTGGAGACCATAACTCTTTATAGTGTTTTCTTTATTGTTGGGCCAGTAAGTTCCTATTGTACCTAATTGACCCAACATTGGTATCCATCTATTTGGCCTATACTTACTTGGGAATTTATTTGAGTATCTTTATTTGATCACTTTAATTTATTCAATATATATTAAATAGCATATTATAATTATTAATATTATATGTAGTTGACAAATACGTTAGGAAATATAATTTCCTCTCTAAATTTTGATATAATAACAATTTATAAAAATTATAAATGTAAGATACATCTTCTAGTTAAGAAGAAGGGTATATATATATATATATATATATATATATATATATATATATATATATATATATAAAGAAATATTCTCTTATGATAAGTCATCAAGGTCAGTCTAATGGTAAAAAATGTGAATAATTATGTAATAGAATATGTGTTTAATTTTTCAGGGCATATAAAAAAAAATTATCTTATGATGAGTAAAAGCGAGGGCCTAACCACTTTATCCGTTATCCGAATAAATCTTTGGTACTACTTTTATACCAAAGATTTAGTGCATCTCACCAATAAAAATATTACATGTCAGCTAAATTTTTTTTTTTTTTATCAAATTTTTTCTCTTTTTCCTGATGTGTAGTGCTCTCATTGATAAAATATACTGAATCTAAGTACAGCAGTAGTACCAAAAATTTATTCCCGTTATCGGATGGTTTTGAGTGAGAAAGCACACTACTATAATATTATGGAATTTTCTAAGATAGTTCGGGATCAAATTAAAAAGCCATGGTTCCTATCATATGTTATCCTTTTTTTAACAAAATTCCTATTTTGCCCTTTTATATAACACAAGGATCACCTGCGCTCCTGCACCATGGAATACTTTCTCTAGTACTATGTGTACATTGCGAGGTGTAAAGGGAGTGAAAGATTCTATTTACTGTCAGGCATAAAGGTCAGTACGAATTTGTGAGAGGGATAAACCATTGGATCAAAATAGTGATCGAGATTCTCTTTATTGTCAGGCATAAAGGTCGGTCCAAATTTGTGAGAGAGATAAACCATTGGATCAAAATAGTTATAGTTGCAAAATGGGCAACTCTTTTAATTGATATAAGAATAAGAAATTTTATATTAAATGTTAATTCTTAGTTATTCACACTTAATAGTTCTATTCATTAATTATATAAATAATTACATATAAATGAAATCAATAATTAACATCAAAGATATAACTTATAAATATAAAATATTCATCTGCCAGTGCAAAATAATCACAACTAAAAAGCGATTTTCTAGCAGGTTTGATGTTTTTGCTTTAATATATTCTTATTTAATATTTTAAGATTTTAGGTTAAAATAATTATTTATATGGTACCAGAGCTAGAGTAACTAAGGATGTGAATGACAACCTTTCCGGAATCTTTTTTTTTTTCTGTTTCCGAAAACAAAAATTGATAAAAAACTTGTTTGATAAGATCAGTTTATTTTTTGTTCCCGGATTAATCGGTTTAATTTTTGTACGAGGAAACAGAAAAAAGAATCAAAAAATTTCTCTTTTTTTATTACCAAACACAAAATGAAAAATACTTTTCTCTTTCAATCACTGTCTACCACTACCATCACCACCACCACCATAATCCCGACAAGACCACCGCCATTATCATTGTCGTCGTCATCGTACCATCAGTGTCGTCACCACCACCATGCTACTGTCACCACCACAACCACTACCATCACCATCACTACCATCACCATCACCGTACCAACCACCACCACCACCACCATCGCAGCCACTGTCGTCACCACCATTACCACTGCCATCATTATACCACTGCCACCACTACCATAACCACACAACCACCACTGTCACCACCACCACCACCACAACTACCACAACCTCAGTAACCAACCACCATCACTACCACTACCATCTCCACTGTCACCACCACCATCATTATCGCAGTCACTATTGTCACCACCACAACCACCGTCACCAACCACCACCACCATCATTATCGCAGTCACTATTGTCACCACCACCACCACCACTATCATCACGCCACCACTACCGTTATTACGCCATCACCACGACGTCACTACCATTGCCATCATCACCACCACCGTTACCAACCACCACTACCATTGTCACAGCCACTATCGTCACCATCACCACGCCACCACCATTACCACCAACCACCACCATCATCGCTGCAACGACTGACGTCACCACCACCACCACCACTATTCTGCAGTCACTGCCCTTACCACCTCCACCATCGTCGCAGCCACTGTCATCACCACTACTACCACGCCATCACCACCGCCACCGTCGCCGGCCCGCCGCCACCATCCCACCATATGAAAAGGAAAGTGATGATCCGAATATATTTTTATGCTTAAAAGAAATAATTTTTATTATATTATTTGTTGTGTTATCGAACACAATTCTCATTCTCCGAATAAAAATAGAACATGTTATCAAACATATTTTTTTTCTCACAAACTGTTCCAAGGCACCGAATATAAAAGTATTGTTTTCTTTTCAAAAATAGTGCCGAGAAACAGAATGGTTGTCATGCATACTCTAAGTAGTCATGAGTTCAATCCTTATCATCCTCATTTTTAAATGAAATTAAGAAAAACACAAGGTAAATCAAAAATAGACCTGTGCAACATATGATAGACCAACAAATGGACATGTGTTATACCTACGCTTTAAGCTCAAAAGACTCTTACGTTAAGATGTGGGTTAGTGAGATATAAAAAATACAAAATAATTAATATATCATCACTCAATGTCTTAAGATTTTGAGTTAAAGTGACGCTTATCAAACTATAAAAAAAAAATTATGTCACACTCATATTAAAATGAGTAAATCCCATGATAAAGAGAAGAAAAAAAAAAGTTAATTGAATCCATTTTATTTTTATGTGAATATAATGAAAAAAAATTCTACAGCAAAAAAATATATTTTCCCCTAAAACATAATTTTCTTTCTATATAGTCAAACATGTTTGAAATTTTGAATTGTCTCTTAGCGACTAGCGTGCAGACAGCTTCATTTTCTTTTCTCTACGCGGTTTTGCTGTCGAAGCATCTGGACTGCAGATTTTATTTTATTTTTTTGATACAAAGGTTGTATTTTTATTTCCGCTCTTCGACTTTCATGCATGCTAACAAAATATCACTTTCATTTTAAATATCAGTTAATTAGTATAAAGTTTGAGAGATTTATTATTTTTTTGTAATTTTTATAAATTGTAATTATGATTAATAAAAAAAATTTATTTTATTTTATTTTTTATTTTATTCAA